CTCGATGACCTCTCGAGGTCCCTTCCAGTCCTATTATTCTATGATTCTATGAAAAGCGGAGGCCGACGAGGGGGGTGACGTAATCTGCCTGCGACCGGCGGGCAGTTCAAAAGGTCGCAGTGGACCAGCCATAGGGGGGAACGCCGAGGAGACGCACCCCCCTCGCGAGCCGGTGAGTGGACGGCATTATTGGAGGCCCTGGGCAGGATCAGAGAAAGAGCCCAGGTGAGCCTATGGGTCCTGGGGGAAGAAGCAGCCCAGGGCAGGGACGCGGACCCTGAGGGCAGGGGAGTTTAGGGGTCTCGACCCCCCCTGCTAGGTGGGGAGTTCTTTTCCCCGACCTTAGGGCCCTGGGCTGGGGTCCGGAGCGAGGGCGGGCCCGGACCCCCTTCCCCCAACCGCCTAACAAAACCGAACGGAATCGGCCGCTTCAAGGCGCTTATAATCAGAGAACTGAGGGGGGCGGACGTAAGCCCCTCCGCACAGGGGGGGAACCCCTACAGGACAGGACAAGGAGTAATGGGCTTAAAGTGCAGCAGGGGAGGTTTAGATTGGACATTAGGAAAAAATTCCTAACTCTCAGGGTGGTCAAATATTGGAATAAATTGCCAAGGGAGGGGCTGGAATCTCCCTCTCTGGAGATATTTAAGAACAGGTTAGATAGACATCTGTCAGGGATGGTGTAGACGGAGCTTGGTCCTGCCTTGAGGGTGGGGGGCTGGACTCGATGACCTCTCGAGGTCCCTTCCAGTCCTATGATTCTATGATTCTAGGAGGGGTCAAACCAGCAACAGCAGCTGGAGCAGTAGCAGCATTTGATCACTGCAGACAATGACAAGCCTCAGTTATTTTACCCTCCCCTGCATCGTCGTGGCAATAAGTATCTGGATGACAATGAGGAACAGTGGATAGCCACACACTCCTTGCCTGCAAGAGAGCCTTTCCCACCCAGCTATCCCAAGTGTGAGACCATCCTACCTGCTCAGAGAAACAGTAACACTCTGCCACTCAGGTGGGCAGTCCCAGGCTACGCCAGAGGCAGCCCTATATAACCTGCAGTTGTTGGGCAAACTTCAGTGTATCCATACAATCTCTGCTCATGTGATCTCAGTCACTGGGCAGATTATGCCCACATGACTGCCAGGGTTTCCTGAAGAGCGGGAAAGGGGGGGGAAGAAGGAGCACCAATATGGATTCCAGTTGTTGTTTTGTAACCCAAAATGGTGTCCGTGGCTAAAATGGCAGCTGCTATCTTACAATCAAGCTGTTCCTAATGTGTGTGGTGCTTTCCCAGAGCATCTGCTCAGCTCCCTTGTCTTGTGGTAGGCATGCCACAACTCCTTAATCTTCATCCAGCATTGGTCTGGGGTCCTGGTGTGCCCATTGTTGGCTAGGCTGGCATTAATCCAGCCATAGATTTCAGCGTTCCTTTTCCTAGTGCAGAGATCTTGGAGGTTGGTCTCCTCCCCCCAGTCCTCAATGAGATGAGGATTTCCACACCAGTCCAGGCTGGAGCTCTCCTGTGTCCCTGGGCAGCGGTAGCTGTGGGAGCAGCAGATGTGCTGGCAGCCTTGGGAGGATCTACGGGAGCATTAGGCTTGCTCATGCCTGCCTCAGAAGATGTTGTCTCACACAGGGCTTTCAAAGCTGGCCACATGCAAGAAGCTCTTCTTTTGTTCCTGCGACTTTTAAGCTCCTCAGGAGGAGGAAAGCAGGGGGTGCCAGGTGGGGCCAGAGCAGTCAGAGCTGCAGCTGCAAAAGGCTTCTGGAGTCCAATTATTTTGAAGTAACAGAGCCAGAACATCTACACTATTTCAAAATACAGTAACTATTTTGAAATGAGCATTATTCCTCGAGAAAAGCCGGCGTACAGATTTCAAAATAACGGGCTTGGTAGTGTGGACACTCCACTTATAAATTCAGCCTTAGGGAGGGTAATTCTGAAATAAAGCCCTAGTGTAGACCAGTGCTATTAGATAGATATAAATAGCAAAAAATTATCACTATATGTAGCTTCCTTTCCTTTATGGGAAAAAAACCCCACTGAGTTTTGCTTTGCTCTTATTCTGGGTTTTGTTTATTATTTTTACTCTTTTAATATATTATTAAAGTATTTTACATAAAAAGTAGACATACCTGAAAAGGATTTTTTTTTTAACTAAAAACAGACTCTTATTTTACTCTTAATGAGAAACTTTGTTTCCAAAGGTAAAAAGGGAAAGTGATAAATATGTTGTTTCTCCTAGACCAATTAAAGGAGGAAAAATAGTGTTATGCAGCTGTCAAGAAGCCTTGAAGGGAGATATAATGTGTAGAAATATAAATGATTGAGGAGGGAAGTATGGATAGAATTAACTATTATTGGATGTTGGAGAGATTTGTGGCTAATGTTATGAGTTATTAGGAAGGCTTAATTTGTAGAATCAAGCATTTGATGGAAGGCAAGTTGGTCTGCTCATCTTAGCTTTAGTTTTCAGTGTGTTTAATTCATTATGTGTGGTTTTCTTCATGTTCACTGTAGTATATGTACAAATTGCTGATCAGTACTGTAAACAGTATATTATTAGTACACATACCTAAATCAATCAGACTGAAATGATGAAAACAGATCATTTTTACGTAGTAAATTAAACTGGACTTTTTAAAAAGCAATTATTTTTAAAAATAATTCAGTCATATTTAAAAAATTGCAAAAAACTCATTCTTGATAATTAATTGCAGTTGACTAGAACATTTCAAAAGACGCTGCCCTTCTGTGCAGTTAACTCGCCATCAGTACAGTATGATTTTAGCACATAAGGATTGGTTTGGTCAAAACTTTGTAATAATATAATATAGGTTGTTGATTTAAAAAATAACTAGAATTTTGTGTTCCTGAATTTTTGTTGTCCAATTTGGGACAATTTAAAAGATATATTGTTCTCTCTAGCACAAGACAATTTGCAAATGAGGCAAAGTGGTGAATATCACTGTGCCTCATTTGCATACTTAATGAGCCTCCATTTTGCACAAGGGGCTTTTGCACAAAAATGAGCCATTTACATAGCTCCTTTTTTGCGCAAAAAACCCCTCTTGTGCAAGAATCGTTCTGCCCCTTTTCTTCAGGAGAACGTCTCTTGCACAAGAGGGGGGTTTTGCGCAAAATGGCGGTTCATTAAGTATCAAATGAGGCGTGGCGATATGTACCGCTTTGACTCATTTGCATATTTTATTGCGTAAGAGAGCACGGTATAGACGTAGCCTCAGTGCTTTCTGAAAACCAGCATCTGGTTATGCAGGATGCCAAATTTGAATCATTTTTTGAAAGTAGAGGGTTAGGCACAAAAAGAAAAAAGCTGACAAAGATGTGTTTATGTGCAAGGAAGTAGTAGGCCCAACAAGTTAGCAAATTGAATTCTCAATTATGTTTGTATTTTACTTGCAGAACTGCAGGCTTTTCATGTGGATGATGTGTGCCACTGTGGCTGAGGAATATGAAATCACATAGCATCTGTTATGTTTCATATAATACTACTTTGTTGTGTTTCTCCTACTCTCATTTTTACAGTTGTTTTCCCCTCCTCCCTCTCTCTAGGGGAAAAAAATATTTTGTATTTTGGAGTGGGGAAAATATCATAGTCCTGTATCCTGCTTTTCCAATACAGTCCAGAAAAAAAAATCTTACATATTCTATACCCCAAATGGATAACGTGTTGTACTATACCCCATTCGCCCATTGGTCAGAGAACCTACCTTCTATATACACGGCAAGTCAAATTTTGCTGCATTCACCATATACAATGGGTTGCAAAACACCATTGGCCATATACTCTCTCAATACTGGCCTAAACTCTCACTGTATCAGAAGGATAGTTAAAGAGCATAATGCTATAATTAGTATCCACAATATGAAAGAATTAGTGTCTAAAGGAGAGAGTTCATGTTGCATATGGAACATGCATTGTAAGCTTTCTGTGCTTTCAGTGCTTGTAAACAATTCAGATGTTCTAATAATTTTTTGCTAATGAATGTGTAATTGATTTAAAAATACATTTTAATCTTACTTGTGGATTTCATCCTGTAGATTTTACTGCATTTGAGTTCTCTGCAGAATATTGCTCACATTATATTTTTTCCGTAAATTGGTAAATGGGTAAAATAGATACACTACACACAAATTCTTCCAGAATAACATAATTCCCAGTGTTTGGCTATGATCTAGAAATATAGATTCACTTGTGTTCTAGTTGCCATGAGGAAAAATGCATAAAATGAGTGATTATAATATGTTTGGTCATTTTGAGGATGACATAGTATCAGTAATCTAATAATGTTCTAGATTGTTGGGTTTTTTAATTTTGTCAGCACTAACAAAATTAAAAACTCATTGAATTTTTAAATTATAATCTTCTTTTGACCCAAAGTATAAATTGAATAGAAAATGTATGTATTTATTATGAAGAAATATGGTGAATTCAGTTCAGATTACTCTTAATTCATATTCTGTCCGTTACATGTTGTTCTCCATCTGATACTATGCCTTTAGTGTTACCAGTGCAACTCCACTGCCTTCAGATTATGGGAACCCAGATTATGGTTGTGACATCAACAATAAATGTATACAGGTGCAACTGTTCTGACTATAACAATTCCATTGATGTAGCTGAAAAAGGAACAGAATCTAGCACTTCTATTAATTACGTTGATTCTTAGTACTAAAAAGAATAAAACAGTAAAATCTGTTTTTGTTGGTCTCTAAAGTCAATAGGTATAACTGGATCAGTTCTTTAGACTAAGGTGTTGCCATTTTTCAGTTGCTTCTCAAAAGTACACCCACACTTTAACAATGAAATCTGTACTTTCAACACTAATGTCTAGTTATATAGCTAGGCTGAGAATTTCCATCTGCCATATTCTTCTGCCTGCAGGTCACCGCTTGTCAGTATCCTAAGGCAGTAAAGTCAAAAAGAGATAAACAGTATGCTTTCTCTTTAACCCTTAGTTATGCTTTTCCCTTTCAGCACCCTCCTTGATAGGTATGGTAAGGAAGGACTGGGCTTCCCAAAACAGCATTGCCCTCTCATGGCAAGAGCCTGACTTCCCCAATGGAGCCATTCTGGACTACGAGATCAAGTACTATGAGAAAGTAGGTCTTGCTTAGAACATCAACCAAATGAAACCCTACAGAATAGCATGTTATACATTGAAATGTGTTTATATTGTCTAAACTTGTTCTCATTTTATTTATTCCTCATACCATCATTAGGTTTAAGTGTTAGTTATGTTTTCTATTGATCTATTTGTTTTGATTTGTCTTGTTTTATGTCAGATTTGAGTACGGTAGATGTAATATTAGTGAGATTTTATAAACATGGTTAAAGGTAGAGCCCCTTTGATATGTTTTTATGTATGGACTGCCGTGATATGGTTGATATAATACAACTATGATACATGTCATTGTGATTATATTTTGGTGTTCTGATTTAACAACAACCAAATTACATTATGTACATGTCTAGCTGTGGTATTAGGAAAGAATAGAGAATATTAGATAAAATAAAATTACATTGTTTTTACGACTAGAAGGAGAAATGAGCACCAGATAAGAAACAACTAGTTATGTCACAAGTCTGTACCCAAAATCTTCAAGCCCATGTGGACAAATATGCCCACACACATTTCCCTCATTTCAGATGGAGATTTATATGTACCCTCATATATAAACACAAACTAGGGTCTGCTTTTGCTCATGTCCATTCTGTGTACACTTGCACACCCCAGTTTGAAGAGTAGGGCTTGCTACAAAACTAAAGTTAGTGGCAATTGGTGCCTTCATTCTTTGAAACACATCCAGTTTTCAGGAGTTTCTGGAATTTTCAGGTACCTGCATCTCAACCTGCCAAAATAAGGAGATAATAGTATTTCCTTTTCCCTTTGCTAAGTAGCACAAAACAATGAATGGAAAGGAGAAAAGAACACTTAGGAGGAAGATCTAAGGCAGAGAAGTAAAAGGGAGGGTTGTTTGTTTTGTTTTTTACGTTGTGAATATCTGGGCTTATTGATTTTCAGTATGAGAAGTAATGAGGCTGCAGTTCTGTGTGCAGTTTTGCTGTTTTATTAAGGCTAGAATTGAGAAAGCCCAACAATTGAACATAGATTGAAAAACAGGTTAAACTATCCACAACCCACAAATCCACAGATCTGTTGCATAACTTTTCCCATGCTGATTCCCTACTATGATCGAGTTGGCCTTGCTTATTTATCAACATTAAAAAAATCTGATCATGAATTAGAAAGATAAATGCTTTACTAAGAGATTACTTCTACTGTGGGAAACATTCTGGCTTGTTCCAAAGATCTACCCATCAATATTTTAGCAAGGATATTACATTTTTAGCATTATATTTGCACAAACTCATTGGTAGATGATACCCTGAAGACAATACAGTGTTACTGAGTAACTTGGCATAGGATTCCTCTTTAATAGTGCCAACACAGCACTAAACTCTACCACTGCCTAAGGAAGTTGACCTTGCATAGTACAGTCACATGCTTCATAGTCCTAATAGGCATATATACCTCAAACAAATCCTGTCCAGCTCCACATAGGCATCAACATTTTCTTTTCTGGTCTTTTATTATTCATCAGAGAGATATTTCTACTTCAAGCAATTCTTTTTCTTGTGCATGGGGGTGGTAGAGAGAAGGATTCATTCCTGGCATAAGGAGGTGCATCTCCCCAGTGGTTATTTTGCCCTTGGTGCCTTTTCGATAGTCACTCATTGTACTGAATCAATAATTTTTTAACAAAGCACCTTTTGTCAGCAGCCTGCAGGAGACACACTTTTGGCAGTACTAATTAGAAGGCAAACTGGGAGACAAGCAGGGGCAGCAACAACTACAGGATGCTTATTAAGGGGAAAAAAGAGATATGTTTCAACTTTCTCTGAAACATCAGGCACAAACCACTCTTAAAGGCCAATTTTGGAATAGAGAGACTAGAAACATGTGCTGTTCTGTGATACTGAGATAGGAGATGTGATTTTCTATCATTTTAATGTGTTTAATGTAGCCATGTTAATATTTTTATAGAGCACCATTTTAATATTATTCATATAGCACCTTTGGAGTATGTTAGGCTTTGCAGACATTATAATGAATGTGTATAATGGCCAAATGCAAAGCAAAATCATATGCTGAAATGAAGAGGAAAGCCCTTACTCCCAAACCAGCAAGTACAAATGTGGCCTTTGCAAAAATCTTTTTCTCTTTACCCTGAAGTTCCACAGAGTACAGTAACTGAAAAACCCAGAAGGGCAACACTAGAAGGGATATCTAGAATCACAGAGGCAACATTTGGTGGTAGAAATATCAGTAGTCAAATTCTTAGCAGCCATTACAAGCCTGAAACTTGACTATTACCATAAACTTGTAGAGAATGTGAAGATCTGATGTAGCAATATGAACGATGTTACAGCAAGGACATCCATCTATTGTGGCCAGTATTATCATTTATGCCTAATTAGAGTTTGGTTATGGCATCTTACTGCCCAGTTTCCCGTGAGTCTCTTAAGTGGAAGAACACAGTTCTAAGACCTCAAAATAAGCCTGTCCATCAAACCTAAACTCAAAGCAGCAGAGAAGCTCTGTGCAATAAATGTGAAGTTCTCATGCAATGCAAAGAAAAGTCTTCAGGAGGCAATAACAAATGCATATAGTGATGCATAGTTCCCAACCAAATCTCCATTTGCCCTAGTTCTTGATACAGACTACCACAAATAGGAATGGAACAGATATTGCAGACTACTCCTATTAGGGTTTTCTTCCCCCCTGTATGGTAGCCCAGTTGCCTCTCATTTATACTGTATTAGGGGGAAGGCTGGGTTTTTCCCCCAAAGACATTGCAGAGCTGGGTGCCTCCATCTAACGCAACTGTATTGGAAAGCAGTGTCTAGAATCTGAGTTCATCTGAATAACATTGTGTGTGACATTAGTTTAACTTTGTAATACCCTGAGCATTTCAGCAGATTTATTGGATTGCTTTTCAATCTTTTTAAGAGTAACAGTTTATGTTCCCTGGAGCTTTCTTTGGTGATTAATGGGAATAGGCCAGAAAAACATTCAAGGCTTCTATGGGGAGTTCTGCATTCATTTAACAATAGCACTGGGACTTCCTCGTCCCATGAACAAAAATTCTTGTCCCTTGCATGCTTCTAAGCTTGCGCAGAAGATATAGGAAGCTTTAGTACTGGGATCATGACAGAATTTTTCCTTTTGAGACCAAACTGCCCTGTGGTCCCAGGATTATCACCTTCTCACAGCTTCCAAGAGGCACAATTGGGTTGCAAACAGTAAAATACAGTAATTCACATAATGCTATTAAGATCACTGACTTGTTGCAACTTGCAGCCAGTTGTCCAGTACAGATAGAGGCTAAAAGAGATAGAAATAAGTGAGATCTGGGACTTTGCTGCTGGATTGCTTTCTCATAGGAGGGCAGAGACCTAGCATATTGGCAGACTGAGGTTCCCCACACAGACTAGTGAACTCTTATCACACAACCGTCCCCTACCCTTTTATGTTATGACTTGTGGGAAGAGAAGTTTTCAGAGCTGAGCTGAGGGAGGTAGGACAGTTACTGTTTGGTTCTGAAACCCTGTAGCCCTTGTTGGAACCTGGCATGTGCAGGGGATGAGTATTACAATACCTCTCCTCAATGTATAACTGATAAAGTTGCAGCCTGCCAGTTAAACCCATCTCATATGTCTGTCCTTCATTTGGCTCTTGTCCTGGTCAAGAAATTATAAGTTTGGATCAGTGTGGTAAGAAGGAAAAAAATCTCATTTCAAGCTTCCATTACCATGTGATAGAAAGTTTTCCTTTGCTTGAATAATTCTGTGATAATATCAGCTACAGATTATCATGCTCCTGAAATAACATTGTGTCTTGAAACCTGGCAAATTGAAATATCTTATTTCTAGTAGATGATGAATCATTCCAAAAATTATCCATTTAGCAGTATTTGTCACCTTAGATGATAAGTGAGTCTGCACAAAGAGAAACAAATAATCCATTAAATGTTTGACCCTAGAAAGCCAAGAAGCTCTTCATATCTCCTGCTTTACTGTCCTCAGAGGTACTAGACATTTACAAATTAAATCTTTTAGCATGATATGCCTGCTATTGTCCAGATGATTCCATTGCCCACATGGCTCAGGGTCTGCCTAATCACAGTATTTGGAGTCAGGAAGGAATTTTCCTCCAGGTCAGATTGGCAGAGAGTCTGTGTATTTTTTGCCTTCCTCAGCAGCATGAGACTATTAAAGAGAACTAAAGTAAATGCTGGATTCTCTGTAACTTGATGTCTACATTCCACCATTCTATTTAATTGAACAGTGCAGTTACAGAACTTAGTAAATAAAAGGGGGGAGAGACATTGAGTAATGTGGACCAGGGGAAATTAGATTTCTGGTGAGATTTTGGGGAGAGATGAAGGGCTTATAACTAGTTTTTTATTAAGCTGATGAAATGGAGAGATATAGCATTAGGGGAAGAACTTTTGAAGGCAATATGACCTTGCTAATTTTCTCATTAGCCTCCAGTTGAATTGATGCTCCACTTCAGGATGAAATATTGAAACAAACTGTTCCATTTCATTGAATTATGTGATTTAAAATTCATAAACCTGAATGTGAACAATAAGATTCATAAGATCAGCTCAAGATATTTGTAGTACCAATGTGAAGATTTAAAACTTAAAATGGGTATTTGTAAAATATTGCTGGGCAATAAATATAAAATGTCAGAATTACTTACAAACCAAAAGGTGTAAAATTGTTAATGAGTCAGGAATTTTCTTCCAAACTATCTACATGCAAATGAGTTTTACAGAATTTAAACTAGTGTGGAAAGTGTTTTATATATTATTATCCATAAATACCACAGTGTGTGGACCAGTGAGTATGCTACATGTTGGTGTGCTTTAGAATTCCCATCTCGCTGGTTCACATTGCTATGAACTATATAAGAGAACAATATATCTGGTGCTTCCAAAAGCAGGAAACATTATCCTGAGAGAACCCATTTCTCATGAGAGTTCAAATGTATGTTTGCCTGTCCAAGAATTCTGAATAATTTGGATAAATA